CTGTCGCGGTTCGAATCCCGCTGAGGGTGTTGATAAGACCAATGCGAGGTCGAAACTACAGTCCACCCTTTTGGGAAGGCAAGGCTATGTGAAATTTAATGGAAACGTCAGTTCCCCAAAAGGTGTTCTCATCCAGGGTGTTGGGAAAGCAAGGCAATTTGAAATTGAATGGAAACGTCAGCTCTACTCATATGATTGTGGGAAAATTCTACTACCAGTCCTTCATCACCTTACACGAAATAGGGTGAATACATCTCATTACACTGGGAAAATTCTACTACCAGTCCTTCATCACCTTACACGAAATAGGGTGAATACATCTCACACAACAATGATATGAGTTGAGCTGACGTTTCCATTGAATTTCACATAGCCTTGCTTTCCCAAAAGTTGTTTTCAACCTTGCTTTAATCAGTAATACGAGATGTATTCACCCAATTTCGTTTTAGGTGATGGAGGACTGGTAGAAGAAGAAATTTGCCACGAATTGATATGAGTTGAGCTGACGTTTTCATTGAATTTCACATAGCCTTGCTTTCCCAAAAGTTGTTCTCATCCAGGATACCAGTGGACTGCAGTTTCGACCTCGCATTGGTCTTATCAACACCCTCAGCGGGATTCGAACCGCGAAAGTGCAGTACGGTAGGTACTTGCAGTTTCGACCTCGCATCGGTCTTATCAACACCCTCAGCGGGAGTCGAACCGCGACAGTGCAGGATGGGAGCTTGGTTTCCATTGAATTTTCACATAGCCTTGCTTTCCCAAAAGTTGTTCTCATCCTGGGTGGACTGCAGTTTCGACTTCCATTCAATTTCACATAGCCTTGCTTTCCCAAAAGTTGTTCTCATCCTGGGTGGACTGCAGTTTCGACCTATCATTGAATTTCACATAGCCTTGCTTTCCCAAAAGTTGTTCTCATCCAGGGTGGACTGCAGTTTCGACCTCAATTGGTCTTATCAACACCCTTAGCGGGATTTACCGCGACAGTGCAGGACGGTAGCTTGACACGCTAACCACTCGGCTACACTAAGTACCTGACTCACAAGGGCATAAGTGAATTTCAAGGACGGTCAGGACTCTGCTATATCATATACTTCGGGGGTCGTGCCGATGAAGCAAACGTATATTTGCTATAGAAATCGACAACGTTACTTATATTCGTATGAAAGTAGGGTTTCGAGACTACCAGTAAATC